AAGAGGAGACTGAGGGGTGACCTCATTAATAGTTATAATCTGTAAAGGGTGAGTGTCAGGAGGAAGGAGCCAGGCTCTTCTCTCTGATGTCCAATGACAGGACAAGGTGAAATGGGAGCAAGTTGGAGCACAGGAGGTTCAACCTGAACATAAGGAAAAACTTTACTGTGAGGGTAAGAGCACTGAACAGGCTGCCCAGAGAGGTTGTGGAGTCTCCTTCTCTGGAGACATTCAAAACCCGCGTGGGTGTGTTCCCGTGTGACCTAGTCTGGGTGATCCTGCTGTGGCAGGGGGGTTAGACTGAATGATCTTTCTAGGTCCCTTCCAACTCCTAATATTCTGTGATTCTGTCTATAGTAACAGAGTCAGTTTGGACTGGTATTGTTTGTGTGCTTTGTATATATTGTTATTGTATACATCAGGTTAGATGCTGTTTGTGTGAAGCACTAGTAAGTTGTTGGTGTTAATAGCTGGGACACTGTATGTAAGAATATATAATTTTTTATTCCGTGTACTGGTTGTTACCTGACTGAACTGCCATCTATGTGCAAATCAGTCTCTAAGTTCTAGAGCTTCAGTTGTCCTGTGGCAATTGCAAATGGAGAATATACAAGCTTCTCAAGGGCAACAGAAGATACAGTTTCAACAATAACATGTTTCAAAATGTAGCTTAATAGCTGTGATGCAGTCTGTATACATAGTTAGCCTTTCCCAAAGCCTGATTACTCCCTGGATCAGGAAGGTCCCTTCTTTTCGTACTGTTTTGAGACACTGCAGTGTGGCAGCTCATCTCCTCTGCACCCTGCCCTGATCATTACTGCCTGGTCTGAACAGTGAAAACCCTTGCTAATTAACTTGCCCATTTGGGCTATCCACTCTGCTGTCATACTGGCTTAGTGCCTTGGCTGTTTTGCCACCATGAGCATTAAGTTCCAAAGATTTCAATTCACTGTATCTAGGTTCCCAAAAATGCCACAGAAAGAAGGAAATAGAAGCCTCTCCTGAGGTTGGGTGGAGCTAACGTGGGGAATGTCCTAGGAGCCTGGCACTGCTGCTGAGGCATTAATGAGAGTAACCATAGGGTAGAAGAAAGGCCAAGTGCATTGCATGAGAATTGAAAACTAATTACACCAATTATGCCCAGATAATATGTGCAAATGTAACTCTACCGGCTCCACTTCCCTTCTGTGCTATGCTCTGCCCTAAGCAGGGACCTGGCCAATTTTCAACAAGGAAAATCCTTTGCGTCTAAAGTACGTCAATTTTAAATTACAAGTACTCAAGCGATACTGTTAGTGACTAGCTCTCACTGTGAACAGCCGCTGCTACCAACCATTACTTGTGGTGTAGAGGGTAAGGTGCAATTCAGTGCAGCAGTTCATTCCCAGTTCGAGTTGGCTGCATCCCACATGAACGATCCAATGGGTGCTGGCCAGAGTAAGATGCCTTGGGCAAATGCTTTTGCTAAAGAAGTTCATGCAAAGCAGTGGAGCCAAGCCTTACTGACCTCTGCACTTTCAAAGTAATCTTATTTGGCTTCTCAGCTTGAGGAGTCACTGCAAATTTTCCAGCCCCAGTCTGGATCATGCCTTTCCAAGACAACTTTGTTTTCAAATGCAATTTAGAATGAGCAAAGTGCTGCCAAACAGAGCGAGAGAGATGGAAAGAGCTAGCGATGAGGTAAGTCACAGGAAACACAATTTCCCAGTGTAAGATTAGTAAAAAATATTAAGTAGTTAAGATGAATCTCAAAACAAATCTAAAGAAAAATTAGCCTTTGTGGGCAGGGGTGGCAGGTGCATAAGAATCAGGTACAGCCTAAAAAGGTAATGACAAAAAAAGAAGATGGATATTTCACCCATTTAGAGGCTATACAGATCAATATTTCACCTATGTGAATTCCCAGTTTTGGGTCATTACTCTTGGTCAACAAGTGCAGTGTGTCATAGACCAGATTTATCAAAAAGATGTGGAAAAATACAGAGACTCACTCTAGCTATTAAAAGGCAGTTTCTGCATCTTAGTTTGGTATATAATCCATGTGAATGACTACCCACTTAGAAGATAAGACTTTTTTTAAAAATGAGTTACCTGCTTCTGTGCTAGTCACTGTCCACACTTCAGTGAACCTGTTGAGTGTTACTGTGACTGACTGCATGGAGTTAAATAATGGAGATTTCTGGGCTGTACAGGACTAAAGGATATAAGCTGATATAAAGGTAAGACCAGGAATAATTCCCATGATTATTGATGTAACAATGGGGAAGCTATGCTTGTGAGTGCCCACTGTCCTATTTAGTTTAGTAAATTTGTCCCAGCTGTGAAATTGCAAGTTCTAAAATCTGCAAGTTCTTGGCCAACAGGAGTGGATGAAGAGGAGGGGACACTCATGGAAAATGTGGTAGAAGATTTCAGGAAAAGGAAGGTCTGAGCTTAGCAAAGCTTGCTCCACAGCAGCATGGACTTCTGTTTCTGCTCACTCTTTCTGATTGCATCAGGACTTTGAGTATGTGAGAACTTGTTCAAAGACAAAGTTTTTGAATGACTTTTTAGAGTCCTTCAGTTCAAGTCACCTGAACCAGGTTGTTGGACCTTGGCCTCTAGAGAAAAACTCAGTTATGCACATTGGGTTAGAACAGCTGAAGATCAAATATGGACTGCAGTCAGATAAGCAGATCTGGAGCAGCCAGACCTGCCTTCTGTTCTGGTGCTCATGTAGAGATTACACTCAAAAGACTGAGTTACTTTAAAGCACAGCATGTCTTCCAGCTGTGACCCCATGCTTAAAACCTCCTGCTTTTCAACACTGAGAAAAAAGGAATACTGTGGGACTATTCATGTGATGAAATCATAATTTTCTTCTTTTTTCCCACCTCCTCTCCCTTGCTGGCAGACCTTGAGGGACCTTTGAGTACTTAAACCACATAACTTTTTTTTCAGGCCATGAACACCAAGAAGTTTAAGGCTTACCTGGAAATCAGTGACTCTCAGTATTGCATCACTGAACATGGAAGAGTTTATGAAAATCTAGGGAAGCAGAGTAACTGGGTTTGCCTCAGAGATAATGTACTAGCAATAGCTGTGCAGGCAAATGGTATGGTCTATCCTCATATTTTTAAATTGCAAAGGGCTTTCAGAAGAGTACCAGTAAAAGTGACATACTGCCTATCAGATCTTTTCTCTCCAGTTTGAATGCAAAGTTTATTCTGTCTTTGCTCATGTTTGCTTCTCTTCACAGGATAAATCTGTAGATCTACCTAGACATGAGACCTGCTTCTCTTTTGTTCTTAGCATGGTATCTTAGTGGACCATTTCTAGGCTGATGTCCTATCTTTGGTACAAGTAGCTGCCACCCATGCTAGGATATGGTCAGGGTTATATTAGAAATTTGGGATGTGCTAAATTCCCACTCTCTCTTCTTCTTTTGCTCTTGTTGGTCTCTCTGTTAGCTATTTTAGCTATCGCTCCCACGTGAGATGGTCCAGAATCACTGACAGACTCTGTAGATGTATACACATAATTAAGTGGAATCAAATAGATCTGTTGTGCAGTGTGCCAGGCCATGTTTTTTAGCACTGTTACACGCCCCGTTTATCTCCAGAAGTGTTCTCTGATGCATGTACTGCACGCCTAACTTAGCAGCACAGTCTTACTGACATTTTTCTTATGCTCTGATCTGAACACTGCTGGGCTTAGCATCTCTTGCTTTTGAAGCCTGATGCTTCCCTTCAGCTGCAGCCCATCTACTGCACACTGTGAATGAGGGGAAATAATTGGCAACTTGAGAAAATCCTCATCTCTGTGACCCAAGTTCATTGCTCACCTCTGTGACAGCAAAGCTTCTTTTCCCACATGGAACAACCTTGTACCATTTGTCATGCAGAACATCCATGAATCCGTGGGACTTGTACTGGCTTATCAGTTCAGAGATGTTTGAGGTGAGCGGAGAGTTAGGGGGCAGACCAATACCATATCCTAGAAGGAAGAACAGAACAACCACCTCTCTCTTACTTGTCTGTTTTTTGCTAAAGTATGTTCATTTCTGCTGTCAACTACCAGTGTGTAGTTCAGACCTGGATGCTGGCTTACCAAGGACTGAGAATGCTGAGATGAGATTTTTTGCTGTGCAAAATAAAGTAGCATAATACAAACTGGATATGCAAATTCAAAATCTTTAAGGCCATAAAAGTAAGATGTAAAATTGGAGGTTCAAAAGCTTAAGATAGAGGTACAGATAGATGAATAAATCTGTCTTACATCTAGAAACACAGCCTTTTGCATGCCTTGCCATGTGTTCCTATTTTTCACCTTGTTTTAGCAATGCAAAAGGGCATTAATGTCAAGTAAACAATTCTGTGATCCCTTTACATTTTTAGATCAGTGGATGTGACTGGTGTCAGAAGTGACATTTGCTTTTCTTCCTACGTATTTTCTGATGAGAAGCTGCGTGCATGTAAAGGTATATGGGAGCAGTCTGCATTGTTGTCACACAGCAATTTAAAGCCCACGGGCTATGCTTTCTGTTCATGCACTTCAGCTCTGACAGTGACATGGACCTTCGGATTATAACAACACAGATTTTAGCCACTGTGTCATCTTTTACAATATTAAAGTGCTGGTAAATGACATAGTGTTAGTAAGTAATTGCAAATATGATCTTTCAATTTGCAGAATCTGGGTTTTGACTTTAAAAAACCAAATACAATTCATGCCTGGAGGACATGCAGTTGCATGGAGAGATGTCCTGCCAGTTGCCTGCAAAAATTCTGTTCTAGTCCACTGTGCATTTTTGGTTTTCAGCTCAGAATTCAGAATTTCAGACTATTTCCTTAAAAAAAACCCCACCAACCAACTGCAGGAAGAAAAAAAACCCATCCCTATAAATGTACATGAATGGTAAATTTACCATCATAGTGGCTTGCGATTCAATGATGCAGTGATGTGGTGATATGCACACCTAAAACGCAATAGTCTCCCTTGCTGTTGAATTTTGCACATTATGCCTTGTATTTCTACTTGAATATATTTGCTAACAGTGAAGAAATGGTTTCAGAGAAGGCAAAGCTAGGGTTCATGAATACCACATTTTCAGCATATTTAAATGTTTTGTAATTAGGTAATATGAAGTCCAGCTAGGTAAAAACATACAGTTTGGGGCTTTTTTCTGTATTGAAATTTGCTTTAGTTGATTGAAAGTTATGGGAGCTGATGGTTTACCTCAGTAGAGCTGACCTTTCTGAAATGGAAGATCTATCAGGCTGCACATGCGTGGCGAAACATGCAGCTGCACACACACAAAACCTGCTACAGCCTGAAGAGCTCTCTGGGCATCTATCCTCCCGATAACAAAATGAAAAGAAGAAAATTGATTGCTCTCAGGTCTCTAGTGTTTATTCAAATGGGACACAATGATGAGGCATAGTAAAAGGAGCATTCCACAAAATGCCTGGTGCTGGTGACCTGTAGCTGAAATGATTAAAAAGCTCAGCTTCGTCTGTCCTTCATTTAGCACACTGCCTTCCTCAATCAAGTTTGGGCATTTCTGAATGAGGCCATTTTAATGAGTGAAGGGAGCAGCCAGAGTGATTGCCCTTGGGAAGGGAGGAAAGAGGGAGCTTCAATCATTTTCACTGGCCATCCATCACAAAAGTGATTCCTGAAGTCTAATAGCTGCTAATGTGCTTCCAGGCTGCCTCCCACCCTGTCCTTGCCAATACACCGGGACTGCAGGAGGCTACATTCAATAATCTACAGCTTCAGAGGGAATCTTAAACTGACCTTTAAAATGGGAACACTATCTATCTCCTTCAGACAAGAGCAAAACTGTAGAACAGCGTTTTGAACACATTTCACTGAGTTTTGTGTAATGAAAGAGAGCCTACAAAAAGCAAACCTCATTTCAGGAGCTACCAGAAAACCCTGGTTCTGCTTAATCGCTGAGAATTTTACCATAATCTTCAAGGGTTCCACAGTTTCACCTGCATAGTTTCACTGAGAATACCAAATCACAATTAAGCAAAAGCAACACATGAGAAATAGAGCAGTTTGTTATAAAACTGATTATTACCTTCAATGGCAAAGGGTTTTCCCACAGTTAGAAGCTTGCAATCGGCATCTATTGATACTTCATAATCCAGGAGTGCTTTATCCATGATGAAGGCATCGAGCTTCTCTGGATCATGCCTGTATTCAACACCAAAGACAGAAATAGAATCACTTCACAATCTAAGACTCAGTGATGCCCACTGAACATTTACCTCTGCAGTTCTCTGGAAGATTACTGAATGAAAACAGACACCAGGGTCTTCTATTTGAAACGCAAAAGTGATTTATATTTTGATTAAGGGAATTGTGCATCAAATACAAACTTTGTGCATCTAGAGCAGGACACTAGGGACAGGACTTAGTTTGCTCCCATGAAATAATACTGATCTGAAAGATGGAAAATACTACAGTATGTTAGACACTGACTCAACTGAAAGGTAGCACACAAAGGTAGCCTTATTGGAAAAGATAAAAGAAAAGATAAAACTGCTAAAATACTAGTGCCGTCTTGGTTTCTTTGTGATGTTAAAGTTACAGTTACTAGAGCAAAATTGCAAGAGGATAACTCATACAAAGATGTTTCTCCTTTCTCCTTGAATATGAGGTAAATTAATTTTGTTCACCCAGATCAACTTTTCTGTATGTTCAGTCTTCACGGACACAGAGGACTGAATTTTACTAACATCGTAATTTATGAATAGCACACTTGCATGAAATGATGATACAAAAGAACAGTTGCAGTGTCTGTTCTCATCTGATTCAGGGACTGCACCCTCCACTCCTATCACCTTAAAGGTCTGGGTGTTCTCTTGGTGTGAAGTTACATTACTTCATCGATTTTGATGGATTGATTCCAGTTTAATCCAAAGGAACTGCCATGTATCTTAATTATCATTAGGATGTGTCTGGGAAAAATATGTAAACAGGAAACAAGTTCTGGTGAAAAATTTTCAGGCCATCTGCTATGAAACTTCTAAGTGTAAAGTGATGAATTAATTTATGCTTGTTATCACCTCTCCTGTTTCCAGAGTGAATAACTGTGGGACCCCAGATCACTAGGCACGAATGTCTCTGAAACATATTGATACCATGACTCCTTAAAGCAAGAAGACTTGGTGCTTATTACTTTTTACCAGTCAAATGCTTCTCGTATCCATTTTAATGATAAATGCTTTAAGGTTTCTCTCTGAGAACCTTCTACCAGCTTGCTGAAGATGCTGAGGAACCTCATTCACAGCTTTTGCTTGGACTGTTTTTTTTTCCTGCATGTTTCTCACTGCCTCATGAAGGGCTCCCAAGCACAGAAACCTGCCAGGGTTTATGTGTTGCCCATGCTTGATGGCACCTTAGCAGTTTCCTGGAGACACTCCAGCTGGTGCTACACTAGCTTTATCTGCAAGTATCACTCCCGCCAGGTAATTACATTTCTTCTCTATTCTGCCACGCTCCCTTCAATGAACATTTTCTGAGATAAGTGACACTGAAAGTGGGAAACCCATCACCATTTCACCACCATGCATTTTGGTTAAGGGACCAGATCTGCTGCTGCGTGCAGAGGCTCACTTTAGGTACGCCACTCCATCCGTGGTTGCAGGGACGTTGTACCGTCGCATGTACTCGTGCATCTCTGGGAAGCTTTGCCTCACGTAGTCTTCTGCACTGCTTTCCCGCACAGTTCCAAACCGAAAACCTTGGGACGGATGGTGGAGCTGAGGAGATGAAATTATAGATCAGTAGAGTCATTTATCTCTTTCACATCTGGTAACTGAGTTTTATGCATGAACAATTGTCAGAAATTCTCAGCATTCATAGACCTGCCTCTGGGTAGCTAGTGAAGGACTCACAGTCTGGATTTGTTTTAGCAGAATGTTTTCTAATGACTCCTTAGGCATGAGATTTAGACTTCTGCAGAAGGGTAGTACTACCACTCTAGACAGCATGAGAAACTAAGAAGTGAAGTGTTGAGGACACCAGAAAGTCTCCCCTGGAAGTGAGAAGGAAGACAAATACCCCACAGATGTAATCAGGGCTGTAAGCTTGATTACCAGGCTACACAGAGACAATTTTTACCATTCTGTATCCTTTCCTTTCCACAACTGACTCCATCTTCTGTACTAAAGCCCTGAGTAGTTTGAAAGTTCACAAGTTTATCAAGTACCTTGTTTGTCTTTGGAGCATTTAGTGACCAGTGGGGACATTCTGAAACTGCAGTGAAAGTGTCAGGCAATGTCCTCTACCACGTTATGCACTTTTTTGAGATAGTCTAGTGTTGCCAAGACCATACCAATTGGGAAGCTTTCAGTCATGTACCAGACTCTAAAAGGTCAAACTTTCAGAGCACAAGAAGCCAAATAAAGCTAAGACTGAAGCAGTCATGCTCTATTTTTCTTCTGAGGAAGCTCATGGTCTTCACAGCAGCTTGCAAAGATGATCTCACCACGGCCATACTCTGCTTTGCAAAGACCAAGCAAAGAGGCATTCTGTCAGTCCATATGGCTCTCTGCATATCATCTATGTAAAATAGAGTGTAGGGCAATACAAGGCCATGCAAAAGACCTGTCCCACTCTTTTCTTCAAAGACCCCCAGGATAAAAGAGCATTCCTAGCTTTTTAAAGAATAACAGAGGTAGGATATAAATGCACAGTCATCTAGTTCAGTCTGAAAAGCAATAGAAGGTGGTCTTTTGGATGGTATTTTGATGTCCTGGAAGCTCTGAATATACTATACTTCTGATATTTTTTATCTGTAAAGTGGGCAGGTGGTTTCCACATTGTGCTCTGCTGATCTAGTCTTTGTCTTGCAGCCCAGGAATAAGACTTGCAGTTAAACACAAGACTGGGCATGAAGGGAGTCTTGGCATGTTTTTTGAGGTGTTCTGGTCTGGAGAACCACGGGGTAAGCAATGCAGGCAAGCAATACAGTCTGTCCCTTCAATCGAAGCTGGCAATAGTAGGCAACCAATAAGTAAGCAACGTAAGTGAGCAACTGATGACATCTACCTGGAATTGTGTAAAGCATGTGACACTTCTGCCCAACATCCTTGTCTCTAAATTAGAGAAACATGGATTTGATGGATGGACCACTTGGTGGATAAGGAATTGGCTGGATGGTCACAGTCAAAGAGTTGCGTTTAATGGCTTAATGTCCAATTGGAGACCAGTGATGAGTGTCATTCCTCAGGAGTCAGTATTGGGACCAGTACTGTTTAACATCCTTGTCAGCGACATGGACAGTGGGACTGAGTGCACCCTCAGCAAGTCTGTGGATGACACCAAGCTGTGTGGTGCAGCTGACACCCTGGAAGGAAGGGATGCCATCCAGAGGGACCTGGACAGGCTGGAGAGGTGGGCCAAGTGCAAGGTCCTGTACCTGGGTAGGGTCAATCCCAAGCACAAATACAGGCTGGGCAGAGAATTACTCGAGAGCAGTCTTGAGGAGAAAGACTTGGGAGTGTCGGTCGATGAAAAAATCAACATGAAGACCAACCACATCCTGGGCTGCATCAAAAGAAGTGTGGCCAGCAGGGCAAGGGAGGTGATTCTGCCCCTCTACTCTGCTCTCGTGAGACCCCACCTGTAGTACTGCATCCAGTTCTGGGGCCCCCAACATAACATGGACATTGACCAGTTGAAGTAAGTCCAGAGGAGGGCCACAAAGGTGATTAGGGGCTGGAGCACCTCTCCTGTGAGGCCAGGCTGAGGGAGCTGAGGTTGTTCAGCCTGGAGAAGACAAGGCTCTAGGGAGACCTCAGAGCAGTATTCCAAGTACTTAAAAGCGGCCTACAGGAAAGATAGGGAGGAAAGCTTACGCAGGGAGTATAGCAATAGGACAAGGGGTAATGGTTTTAAACTAGAAGAGGGTAGATTTAGACCAGATATTAGGAAGAAATTCTTTACTGTGAGGCTGGTGAGACACTGGCACATGTTGCTAAGGGAAGTTGTGGATGCCTCCTCCCTGGCAGTGTTCAAGGCCAGGTTGGATGGGGCTTTGGGCAACCTGGTCTGGTGGGGGGTGTTCCTGTGCATGGCAGGGGTTGGACTGGATGAGCTCTAAGGTCCCTTCCAACCCAAACCATTCTGTGATTCTATGATAGTGCATACTGTGCCAGAAGGACTGTAGGCGCAGAGGGAAATGTACTTGCTTGGAAGTGTGTAAGCAGAATTCAAGTGTCAGAAGACATAAATAACAGAAAGTTGTGCTGTGGCAATACATCATGGAGACTTCCAGCAAAATGCTGTCAATGCAAATCTAGGTCTAATCTCAAGACACTGAAGATGACCTGCTTAAGGAATGAGCTTGGAGTGAGCTCCATGTACTCTATGCCTCAAGTACTATTGTTTTAGGTTTTATTTCTTGGCAGTGTCAGTGAAGAGACCAAAAACCTTACTGAGTCCCAACACTCAACCATACTGTCACCTTCCAGTTCAACTTAGGTGTTTGTTATGGTATTCACGGCTCACCTAGTGATGCCAGTAGCAGTGCAACATCCGATCTGCAGATAAAGACTGCTGGATAAGGACCAACTTCACTGGAAAGTATCCCTCACTCAAGACTGTCACCAATGTCTGCATCTAGCTAAATATTTAAGCCTCTATGATAAAGACTAGTAAAAATGAGAGAGTGAACTGCATCTCCATGCAATTTTCTGTCCCAAATGCTTTACTGAGAACTGTCCATGCTTTGCTTTGTGTTGGGCACATTGCAAAATTTCACCACAAAAGATGACAACATATGTAATAGATCAAAAGTCCATCTGGTTAATATCCTGTCTCTAGCAACACCATATGTCTAGTGGGAAGTCTTGTAAAGTCTATGTAAGGAAGTTATGTAGTGATCCTTTGCATCCTATGTTCTACCTGTTTCTGGTAAGCTATGCTTTTTCTTAAGCATAATTATGTGTCTGCAACTTTTTATATGATAACTTCACTTCTTTTATGAAGGATAAAGCTTAATAGAGTTTTAATCCACTATGTCTTCTGGGACTTCTATTTTCTTCTTACTGCTGCTTATCCACATGAGGAAACTCTTTGCTTGCACCTGTATGAATAGTGGATTAACAACACAAAATGCTGCCAAAAGCAGATAATGGACTACCTGCGCTACCTTCACTGCTAATCTGCTAAGACTGCTAAGGGTTACTTGCTTCAACAGAAGATAAAAACTTCAGGATGGAAACAACACTCATCAGTTGTCACTGCTGCTTTCTTACTTTCTGTTGTGCTCTCCTGGGAAGATTCTGTGAGAAGATGGAAGCCACAGATATCTGTGGCCTAACAGAATAGGTAATCTTGCTGTGAGTCTTGCCTTATTAGTTGTCTCTTTTCTTGTTTATACTTTCAGCTTCTGATGCTCTGCTTCTTTCGTGTTTCTTACATTTTAAGAGTACTGTATTGAAAGAGTCTTTCAGTTTTCTTTAAATCAGTAACAGAATCCTAATGCCTAGGGCTTCAGAGAAATAATGAACTCTGAAAAATCAGCATTTGAAGAATCAAGAATTACTTTTTTTTTAACTGGTGATTTGAGAGAGACAGTTACTTGGTTTCTCTATCAGTAATAGCAAATATAAAAGCTATCTTACTGAGAAGAAACAGCTGTCCAAATTATAGGCATTTCTAAAATATGTATACTGTTACCGTGTTTTTCATTCAAAGCTCAGTCAGTGTGAAAGGTCCATAACCATCACAAAGCAGGTAATGGGCACCAGGAACTGCTGACATGTTTTGTATCTGCAGAGTATCTGGAGATTTGCTGATGATTCAAGTATGATTAAAAATAAATGAATGCAATAGCTGCAGACCCATCTCCAGACATGAGTTTTCTTGGCACTCAGCTTAAATAACCTTACAAAGTCCCTCCAAAGTCAGACATCTATGGCTGTAAGAAATTGAAAGAACAAGGTTTGTTTTGACCTAGGGAGACACTTTCAGGAGACAGTGAAGTCCCAGCCTGACAATTCATTGAACAAGATGTGAAGGCAGTTATGGGTACAAATGATATATCCCTCTTTATGCACATCTTTACTGCCAGACCTCCCTTCTGAAGACCTTGAAGAAAAGGAAATAACTTGTTTATTTAAAAGGGTCATTTCTCCTGAATATAACTACTCTTCAGACAGTAGGATAACTGTACTCTCAAGCAGCCTGTCCCATGCGGTGCTGTCACACATGGGACTCATCAGTGTTTAGTGAGTAACCAGCCCTTTCAATGTTAGTTAGCAAGGCCACAACAGCACCACAGTGAACTGCAAACTGTGTTGGCTGAGCCGCTCGGCAGAAGTAGGAGAGTGCCATCGGCCTGGGCAATGTAATGGTGTGTATGAATATATCAGTGGAGTAGTTAAAAGCCAATGTTTTTCAGTGATTAAAAAGCCACTTAGTGTTGCTGGTTAGTGGATCTCTCAAAAAGGGGGAAGATTCTAGCAGCTAACAATATCATTTTTGCAGCTCAAATACTGGAGATCAGGGATTTCATATCAGTAAACTGAGTTTTATGTTTAAAGCACTGGTATATAACATGAATGGCTGTGCTACTTAGGGGCATCCCAGATTTTTAGAACAATCTCCCCAGTCTACTGTGAGAAAGCACATGGAGTTGTGAGACACATGGTGGCCTCTCACTTGCATCCTGGTTCAGTACATGGGGCAAATTCAAGAGATGGTCATGAGAGCCCTTGCAGCACTGGGATGGAGCATCAGAGGAGACTGAGCA